TTTAAATTAAATTTAAACCCACATAAAATCACATATCCCCGCAACCCGCCCCGCCCCACATTAATTTTTTAAAAACCCACTTCAACCACCCCGCATTTGATCCGCCCCACACAACCTTAAACCCGCCCTCCCCCACATAGCCTTAAACCCACCCCGCCCCATTGCCATCCCTACCTGTCAAATTAGTTTTTATTTGCATATTTTGGATTTTCCTTTTGGAGGGGGTTCCCAAGTGTCCTTCCACATGTCCTAGCCCCTCAATCGCAATGACCCGTCTCAAGCCCCCCACCAAAAAATGACCCCGCATTGATCTTCCTTCCCAAATTTACTGATAAGGGTCTGCCTCCATTCACCCTCATGAAATTGATCTTCCTCCACCGCCACACAGTGCCAATCTCCACTTTTATTCAAAGATCTGGCTTAATATTCTGCATTTGATTTCTTCCAGTTTCTGTAACTTCTCTTACCAAAAGTGGAGGACAGAGAAGCTTTTGTAGAATACAAGAGAGCTATGTGGGAAGCTAAGAAGGCTATAGTAAAGTACTCTAAATGGCTTGTATCTAAAGATCGGGACACGAGAAGGAGAGAGAATTGCTTAAACTAGCACGACTAAGAGAGAAGAAGGGCAAGGACTTAAACCCAGGTGAAGTGTATTAAGGACGATTCTCAACAAGTGTTGATGGGAGATAATGAGATGAAGGAGAGATCACTTTGATTAATACTTCAACACGAACCAGGAGAATTTAAGATCTACACACGTTAGTGAAAGATAGAAACTTTAGCTATACTCGAAGAATTAGAACGTCAGAGGTATAGGATGCCAGGAAAAAAGATAGGATTAGAAAAGCTTGTGGCCACGATAGTATCCCTATAGAGGTTTGGAAGCACCTTGGAGATGTAGGAGTGGAATGGCTCACCAAACTATTCAATGATATACTAAGAAGTGGTAGGATGCCCAATGAATGAGGAAGAGTACCCTGGTTCTGATTTATAAGAACAAAGGAGATATTCAAAGTTGTGCAAACTATCGTGCATTAAATTCAAGAGTCATACGATGAATGTCTGGGAAACAGTGATAGAGTGTAGACTTAGAAAGGCAACAAGAGTGAAAGAGAACCAATTTGGATTTAACCTTGGTAGATCTACAATGGAGGTTATATACTAAGAAGATTGATGTTAATCTATCGCGAAAAGAAGAAAGACCTACACATGATGGTTATTAATCTAGAGAAAGAACACAATAGAGGAGTATGCAAGGTCCTTTGGTGGGTGATGCAGAAGAAAGGAATCCATATTTTAAGTATATAAATGACATGTATTAAGGAGCCGTCACTAGCATGAAAACAATGATAGGTGATACAAAGGAGTTTCCCTTAATAGTGAGTTGAGTTTACACCAGGGGATCGGCATTGAGTCACTATTTGTTTACCCCAATATCGGATGAGCTACCAACACAATACAAATGGAGGTCTCATGGTGTATGTTATATGTTATATGTTGATGGTGAAACTCGCGAGGGTCTCAACCAAAAGCTTGAACTATAGAGAAGCATGTTAGAGAGTAAGGGTTTTCAAATAAGTAGAAGTAAGACTAAATACATGCATTGCAGGTTTAGATCGCATGATTGGAGAGAAATTGAGGTGAGACTAGATGGGATTACAGTGGCAAAATGCAAAAAAATTGTAGCCGTACTTCTGTAGCTCTTTCTTTTTCATTGGATGCACTTCGCTGTATTTACACCATTTTTACTAAAATCTATTTCTGCAAATTGTTCATTTTCTACATGTTGTCCTTCATTTATTAGAATTATTATACCAATGCTGTTGCCATAATTTCTTCTTCGCCAATACTTGCTTTCTTGCAAGTCTTTTTTGTTGGATGATGGAATTGTTAGTGTTTAGGTTTGTGAAGATCAAGTTAAGATGCCCATGGAATTATTAGAAGAAACAGGTGCAGCACTTATGCAATCAAAATATCAACTTGTTGAACAGGGTGTTCACAGAAATAAATCTGATCCGCGTGTCAAGAAGATGTTACTGCACAACTCCAGAAGCAATCTGGTCATTAGCTGGTATACAAAAATCAGATAGTAGTCCGGTCAATAATCCTGTCACAAATTATGGTTTCTAAGTCCTGTTTGGTGTACCAAAAGACCCTTTACAGATGCCCACTACTCTCAAGTCTAATTGTGCATGACCCAATTAAACAAAATTTGAAAACGAAGAGAACAATTTTGAATGGCATAATAAAGTAATTTAATACAATATTCTTAAAATAGATGTTATCATGGATGAAAGTGGGCAAGTTCAATAAGATATAACACTAAGGCGAATATATGGTTACTTCAAATATGTTAAAAGAACAAGTTTTTGACATTTATTTCAAGGGTCAAGACAATCAGGACAAACTAACCCAAAAGGTCAGCCAATTAATTTGAACACAGAGTACAATAAAGACCAATTTATACAATTATGCTACATACCCTTCGATCTTCAAGATCTGCAACATCATCATCAACTTCATCCTCACTGTCTCGGTCTGATAAAACTTGCTCCAGTGCCATGGGCTTCACCCAAATAAAAAAATTCATTAGAAACATAAGTTAAAAGGACTCTGCATCGCTTCAAGGGTTTCTAACGCCATATATTGGCTACCTCAGCTCTTCCAAAGACTATAAGATTCATACAAGTAGACAAACATTTCAAAATCTATTTAACTCTGTCACAATCAGCAAGATAATTCACCTCTAGACCCCAAATCCTGGGGCTATTTCAAATGGAAATCACCACACACACTCTACAATGGAAACCAATATTGAACTGTCATTACAATAGATCTTTGATTAGTTCAAGTAACATCATAGATTATACACATCCCATTAATGATACCCAAAGCAAGTGAAGAAATCTTATCACATCACTGATTAAACAGTTCAGTTACCTTTCTCAAAATTAAATTTTCTGATTAAACAGAAACCATGAAAACTGAACAGGGAAAGAATTTTATAAACTTAACATTGCAGGAAACTCCAAGCAATGAACCCTATGTGCCAGTGTAAGACTATAAATATCAGCAGTACTTTGCAATGGCAAAGCCTTCAATAGTAGGGCTTTTGATAAAATCGAAACTTAGAGACTGAAGACCTGTTCATTGAATAATTTAAGTTGCTGAATTATAACACTCCTTTGGTAGATATGCAAGCAATCTAAAAGGTTAACGACTACCACCATAGAGTGGGACGGATTGACATCACTCCACCCTTAATTAGAGGTCTCAGATTAGAGCCCTGGGAATGGATAAGCTCCTGGCAGGGAGCACTTGCCACAAATCTGGATTAGTAACGCCAATGGATTCCAGATATGAGGGTTATAACTTATTCTTATACCAACAGAAGTACATAAACAAAAAGTTAACAGCTTGTTAATGTCTAAGATGCTTCTAATTATCAATTTTAATTATTTTTTATAAATTTTAAATTACTTTATCTATTTATAATAGGTTTGATTTTTGAAAATTCTAAGAATCTGTGACATAATTGTCAAGAAATTACTATGAATTAAATATGTGTTAGTTCTAAACTTAAACTTGATTTGAGGCATGTTAAGCGGCATCTAACGAGTTGCTGTACTTAAAATATAGTGGCAAGTACAGTTGCTTTCAACTACATTCAGTAAAGTATTTACATTGGTACCATAAAGCCATTGCTGATTCGATAATAAGAAATTTGAAGTATTACATTACTTAAGACACTGAATTCTATGTGCTGAACTAATATTTCATGAGAGCCCATGAAACACCCCGCAAATTCTAAGCTAAGATATGAACCATTTTCTTATGCATATAGACCCAAACCCCTAGGATTTCTAATTTTACATAGGTGTTAAGGTCAATTCTTTATGGTGGGAAGTGATTTGAAGAAGAATTAAGGTCAGACGAATCCTCTAGCACAAAGGTGAGTTGAAAGCTTATTTACTGATCGAGTTTTGGTATAAATTCTTACTTGGGTCACTTCAAACAATCGTATCTCCTAGAATATGAGGAGTTACGTGGACCATAACCTATCAAATTAAAGGTGCTCGAGTCTTCTTTCCAACACCATTGACCGCTCGTTAATCCGATTTCAGAGTAGAAAGTTATGATGATTTTACCAAAAATCTAGCAATCTGACCGACTCACTGGAAGTAGGTGCGGCTCACACTTCGTATTGTGCATTTCACACAATGCCATGTGCGAAGGCACATGGATCCGCACAATGCCAGACGCTCAGTGGAAGCATGTGCGATTCACACTTGGTATTGTGCATTTCGCACAATGTCAAGTGCGAAGGTCACTTTGTTCCACACAAGGTATCGACGGGAACCCTTTTTAAGCCAGTTTTACCCCTTATTTTCTTTCTTTGGCCATTCTTTCAAGACCTGGAATTGGTTTTCTCTCCTCCTTCATCAAGGTAAGTCTTTCTCTAAGAATTTCAAGCTTTCCAATCAAATTTCATCATCTAATCATTAATTGTTAACAGAAATCTTAACCCTTGGTCATGGGGTTTTCAAGAAGAGACCAAGAATCTCAAGAAAAGGTTAATTGGTCATTCTTTATCAAGTTAGGGTTCTTCATTAAGATTTGTGGAGCGTTTAAGGTATGTAAGGCTATCATAGTGAGGAACTTAGTTCTTTCTCACGCGCTACATCTACAATTTCAATTAGTAAGATCAAAGTTAGGATTTTTACCCAAAGTCCATGAATTCAAGTTCTTTCTAATTCAAAAATCTTATTGTTGAATTTTACTATTGAAACTGTTTTTTTTTTTTTAAACTGATGTATCTCATGTTCATTGATGATTCTTGATTGATGGTTCATGTTATTCTACAACCTGGACCACTTTTAGCTAAAGTTATCTAAAAACCTTGTTATAATATTAACATGCATTGTTTTCAAGATTAAAGCAAGTTTCAAGATTTTTAAGAAGTATTTCATCAAAGTATTTTTTTCACTCAAGAAAGAGTTTAAGCTATAAGGGTTTGGCCATAGATTTCCAAATATATTTGGCAAATGTTATCTGGGTGAAAATTTGGGTGAAATTTCACTGTGTTTGGCCATAGTACTTCGGTAACATATTTCACTTTTTTTAAGAAATATGATTTTTTGGCCAAGTATTTGGGTAACATATTTCACATTTTTTAAGAAATATGATTTATACCCATAAGTTTTAAAAACTATCAAAACTGACCATAGGTTTGTATAACATAGCAAGATAGAAATGTCGACGTAACAAGATTCATGACTTCCGCAACAAGTCAATTGGATCTTCGTTGCAATATATAACAAGTAGTGTCCATGACACTGGAGCAATGTGGCATCCCATGTTTTTTCTGGATAAATGAACATCATCCTACGTTGTCATATCCAGCACACACCTTGTTGGATGATGACTTTGAGATGCCAATTGATCCTTTCTTATACCAAGTATATATTGTCCATCATATTTATTATGTTAAAAAGGCCCTTATATATAGTTGCAAGGAGGGTATCCATCATCCCTGATAGGATACTCAGCTTCCGTACAACTATAGAATCTATCAAGCAACTTGACTTGGCCAAGAGCTTCACATTTTGGACCACTTACTGTGATTTTTAAGTGCAACATCCACTCAGTAATATTTTAAGACAGTTGTATACATCGAGTAAATGCAAAATAATTCTGCTTGCCAAATATTTCACATTATATTGGCTTATGAGGAACCAAATGGAAATTCCAAGATACTCGAGCATAACGTAAGAGATTAATTACCTGGGCCCTATGAGAATGAAAGAATTGCCTTTTTTGCAGGAGTGCACGACTGTAAGAGAGAAACAAAATTGTATTAAAAGCCAGACAATCTATCTACGAACTATAAAGGTAAACCATAATACAAAAAAATTGGGTAGTCAATTTCCCCCAATTAGTTTCACATCTAAGACATTATGCAAAACAACAAGACATCGAAAATAGATAATACAGAAATACATCACTGGACAGTTCCAATATACTCAATGTTACCCTACTTAACCTAGATACATGGGACCAATCCTAATTTTGTAGCATATAAGCTCAGATTTATTTTACAACTGTCGGAGAAAGAGAAGGAAACTGTTTGTTGCATCATCAAAAGGGAAGTAAAGCCCAACCAACGAGAAACTCAAAACACAAGTGTACCATCACATTGCAGAAAGGATAGTCAAGATCCACTCCATCTGGCGCATATAGTAAAATGGTCGTCATGGTTGAGGTTTTGACAAAGTTCAGATTAAGGCTATTTAGAAAGCAGAACAGAAAGCCACCATAACCAGGCCTTATTTGGCACTAGATCAATGGCAAAGACCACATTTGAATATGGGGACACTGTTGAATACATTAAAAAACTAGAGGGGTAGTAGATCTTTCAAGGTATTTCCTATAATTCCAAAAGTTACAAAGGCCAAAAAGAAACTTAATAACTGCAGTAGGCACGGATTGGATACAGTGACACTACTGGTCACCAAACTAGATGGCAAGACAAATTTTGAAGGCACCGTTGAATTATTGAGATAAAACTAAAGGAAGAGTAAGTACATCTCCCACAGGTATTTCCTAAAATTCTCAGAACTACAGGCATCAAAACCTCAAATTTACAAAACATGGGAGCAGGTTTACACCCGCCTCCCAAAAACAAACACCATAACTGCAGTAGGCCCAATGAGGTAGTCAACAAAGGGAAATAATAGCTCCAGATTAGACAGCCAATAATCCACAGTGGAGTTCAAGGGCTTAAAGCCTAATGCAGCCAACAAAATTAGATAATTGATGAATTATTGGACACAACTGAAGTCGTCAGCAGTGAAATCATTTTTAAAAAAATTTAAAAGAAAAAAAAGATTTCACTGCTGAAGACTTCAGTATTGTGTCCAAATCTTTTCCACCCAAAATCACTTGGTTAAGTAAAAATGCTACTTGACATTGTGCCAATGAACATACTTTCTGGGATCAGAGCGCTCAACTGATAACTTTCTTGACTTGGCAAACTGAAGCAGTGCTGGGGGTGCAAGAGTGCTTCCTGATGCTGACTGAACAGAATCAGGATCTGTATACAAGTGACCAGATGAGGGAACACTTGCACCATTGGAACTTGATGGATCACACTCTACAGCGTCAGCAACACCTGATAAATGTTTAACAGCAGATAAATCATTATTAGTAACAATGGTGCTTCAATATCGATGCCAACAGACTTGTATGCCAAGGTTTCGGACAAAAAGAAAATAAAATTTTGATCCGCACTCAAAAGGCTAAAACAATAAGAAATGGCAGTCAGACTTGGACATGATCAACTTCCCGCTCACCCAACCCCTAAATCAAAAAGCAGCGCTCTCAAGAAAGCTAAGTCAAGAAACTGATTTCCTATGGTTCTGATTTGGCGGTGGTTTTAATTTTATTCTTTTTTCTGTTATATTCACTGACCCCAACAATTTTCTCTACTATTCACATTTTGGTGGATCTGGCGATTTTCTGATTTTGGTTGGGTGGTGATTTGGTGATGTTTTGAATTTTCAGATTGTGGTTTGGTGGCAATTTTAATTTTCTAATTTTTATCTGGTGGTGATTTCTGAGATGCTGATTCCAATAAATTTTTGAATTTGAAACTAAAAGGGGGGATTGAAGGGAATTTTGTGAAGAGAACATGGATTATGGGAGGCTGTAGTTTGGTGTTGTTTTGATATGAGTTTAGGTGGCTTTCATGATGATTTCAGGTGGATGGCATGGCAAAACGTGATTGGTGTGTGTCATGCACTGGTTTTCTTCAAACCAGTACCAGTCACAAAAGGTGATTTTTCTACCACTTTAAACGACTACAGAGCCATGAGACCCCCCCCCCCCCTCAAAATTTAAGCATCTTTTTGGAATCCAGAGGTAGCTCAGGGGAACCTTTGTGTATATTCCCAACATAATTTTGTATTACACCATCATAAACGAATTTTCCAGTAGGAAGCAAATTCAAAGCACCACCAGTATACCTATATTAAAATAATATACAATTATTATATAAGCAGAATCAATTCCACCAGAAAATAATTAGGCAAATGAATCCCATTATATCATTTTTTTTTTAAAGAATGTTCCATTATATTATATTCTTACACCATCATATAATGACTATCCTAGTAGAAAGATAATTCTTTCTCAAAGCCTCACCAGTATACATATACAAATAAGATATATTTATTGTTATATAAGCAAATCAATTCTACCAGAAAACAATTAAGCAAATAAATTCCACTACACTGTATTCTTACACCATCATAAAATGATATTTCTAGTAGGAAGCTAGTTATCTCTCAAACCCCCACCAGTATACCTATTATCAATGTGATATACTAAGGGTATAAAAGAAAATCATTTCTACCAGAAATCGATTAAGCAAATGAATTCCATCATATTACATTCTATATATACATACTAGATATAAATGCCCGGGCAAGCCCGGGCCCAATATAGTTAATTATTTTTGTGTTATTTTTAACGTACTTTTTTTTTTTTGATTTGCACCGGGTGTCCGAGTCTCTTTGAGCCCCGACTAATCCCGGGGGTGCACAGGCCCTCGGCAAGGAGTTTCCCGCAAGTGCACCACGGTTAATCAGGTTTACCCAGTCCGATGGCCCTCAGAAATTGTTTGCACCCAGTGGGTTTCGAACTTGAGACCTTGAAAGGGAGCAAACCCCAAGGCTCAAGTCAATTGCCAGCAGGCCAACCCCTGAGGGTTAGCAGGCCAACCCCTGAGGGTTTATTTTTAACGTACTTTTCAAATAATATATGTGGTACATGTGATATTTTGAGAGTTAATCAAATTTTTAATATGTTTTTTAAAATATTTTAAGTTGTTAATTATTGTGATATATAATTTTGAGAGTTAAAAAATATTTTAAAAAATGTTACTCACTCTATCCCAACTTATGTGGCACATGTGAAATTTTGCTCAACAAAATTTTTAGTATGTTTTTAAAAATATTTTTAAATTGTTAATTATTGTGACTTATAGTACTCTTAATTAACGTTATTTTTAAATAATATATGTTATTTCCCCTGTCCCAATTTATGTGGTTGTTAATTATTGTAATATATCTAGCACATGCGAAATTTTGAGAGTTATGAATTTTTTAATATTTTTTTTTAAAAAAAATTAATATATGTTGCTCACTTTGTCCCAACTTATGTGGCACATGTGAAATTTTGAACTCAAACCAAATTTTTAGTATGTTTTTTAAAATATTTTAAATTGTTAATTATTGTGACTTATAGTACTTTTAATTACCGTAATTTTTAAATAATATATGGTATTTCCCTGTCCCAATTTATGTGGGGAGTTGATCAAAATTTTAATATGTTTTTAAATACTCCAAGTTGTGATTTATAGTATTCTTAGCGTAATTTTCAAATAATATATGTTACTCCCTTTGTCCAAATTTATGTGGCACATGTGAAATTTCGGAAGTTAATCACATCTTAATATGTTTTTCAAATATTTTAAGTTATTAATTATTGTAATTTATAGCAGTGTTATCAAAGGCGCGCTTTAAGCGCGCTTAAGCCCTGAAGCAAGGCTCAAAACGTGTTGAGCGCTTCGCCTCGCTTTATGTGCGCTTCAGTGTCGTCATCAAGGTTCTAAGACAAACTTTTCCTTGCCAATGAGCCTCTTATGAAGAATTGACACTAAACAATTTATATTTCACTTTATAATTAAAAAAATTCGATTTCATTGGTCATATATTTGTCATTCATGTTTATAATTATTAGTCTTGGACTAAACTTATATATTTGTATTTTTTTTCTCCCTTTGCGCCTTTTTTCATTAAAGCCCACGCTTTATTTGCGCTTTGCGCTTCAAGCCCCCACGGACCTTAGAGCTTTTTTGCGCTTTTTGCCTTCGATAACACTGATTTATAGTACTTTCAATATAATTTTTAAATAATATATGTTACTCCCTCAGTTCCAATTATGCAGTACGGGTGAAATTTTGAGAGGTAACCAAATTTTTAATATTTTAAGCTGATTTTTCGTACTATTTTTTATAATACATAACATATAAAAAAAAAATAGGACAAATAAATTAAAACAGATAAAATACTAAAGGTACATAGAGGAAGTTGAAGGAGAAGGGTAAACCGGTCAAATGATTGGCTGACCCGAAGCTCCTCAACATTCATTCTTAATATATAGAGTAAAGTAATAATATATAGCCAAATCCCCAGTTCGCCACCTTAAAACCAATACCCAGATTCTGTCTCCCTTGAAGTCTCAAATGACAAAAAAAATGCTGCTTTGTAGAAAAAGCCTATTTTCTCTTCATGATCAGAGGAAGCCAATTCTCCCTCCCTTCCTAAAACAGAAACTCAGTCACTATCCGTGGAGCTATAGGTAAACAGAAGACTATGGCATTCAACAGTTGGGCTAGCAGAACGACACCAGTTTTACAGATTATACCGTTAGATTATGGCACTCAGTAACTTGTTGAGTTTCTCTATTCCATCAAGCAAATTGCTAATTAACTTTGCAAACAAAGAATCTGAGTTAGCAAATTAGTGGGCATTACAACGAAAATTGATTTTGTAGATACTCAAACCTCTTGCATTTTGGATTGTTATTGTGGGTTTGAGTCCAGGATTACTTAGGACTTTGAAGGGTAATTGAACAGAACTCAGGTCATGCATCAAGACATGCCCGAGCAATTGAGCCATGCGTCTCATAATACGCCCCAGCTATGCCTCAAGATGATTTGCATTCACCTTGAACTGTGGCATGCTGCAGTTCTGCTTGTTAAAACACTGGAACAAGCAACTTGCATTTCTTTTCATAAATGAGCGGAAAGTAAAACCCTCTTCTAACTTGAAAGAGCGTCCATAGGTACATAAAAGATCTCAACTCTCCTGGGAAATACTATATGGAGAAGTAGAGTCAGATCTAGGATTTAAAATGTGGGTTCTGCAAAGAAAAAAATCAAGCCCGTTTTAGCTATTGGGTTCTAAATTAATAATATATACACATAAAATCATTATTCTACTAAGATTTTTTTTTGATAACCAAGAACCCCCAAGGGCCAATAGCACACAAATTCCACCATTATAATTTGCCAAGTCTTCATCGGGTGAGGGGTGTTGTCAAGGAACATCTGCTACCATTTGCCATAGGCAAGAATTATAATTTTATTACACGGTGTGCAAGGAAAAGATCACCTAGATAGTTCCTTATCTACAACAATCAAACATTGCTGCACTTTCAGCAATTGTGTACCTTTCAACTTAAGAAAGGAGGATGTTGATGGAACTCTGACAACAAGTAATATTCACTTATGTGTATCCACTAAGAAACCATGCTCTACCACTCCTACCAAGGAACACATAACAACGTTGAATAAACAGTTCAACCTCTGAAAACTATCAACACATCGAATAATACAAGGAATGCAATGGGAAAAAGAAAGAAAAAGAGTTGTCATTACCATTAATCCTCTCATTGAGATTATTCATTGACGTAGGGAAATCTGAATCTAAAACAAGTGGGTGCACATGCTTTGAATTTTGAACTAAATCTGGCTGTTTCCTCCGTCTTAGTGGCTTTGAACTGAGCATAAATTACAAATAAAGCAGTGGAATATCACAACACACTTCTGAAGTAGCATCAAATAGCTAGAATACAAATTGGAGGAGCATGATAGTTACATACCAAAAGAAGAATGTTTGTTGCTTAGGATCCACGCCATCAGCAACAATCTGAAGATCACTCCAGAGAGCAAGTTAATTTGCACAGAAGAAAAGGCATGACTAGTAAGAGTAGTCAAGCATTTCAAGTTAAAAATACAGAACTGACTTTTCAAACCAATAATCAATTAAAAAAAAAAAAAATCAAACCTTTGCCTAATCAAAATTAAAGAGGACGTTAGAATTTAACCAAGTATCATGCAAATAAAATACATGACCTTATTAAAGATATTCACCATTAAACTACATATTTTGTCTTTCATCAAGAACCCAGTAAAGCTTTAGAAGGCCAACTGCAGACATGATTACAGAAATCAAAATACCTAAAAGAAGAGTTATGCATCTATCCATCTCCTACAGGAATATAGAGATAACCACTATGTATTGCAGCAGATTTGTGCTAGGAGCAGATACTACAGACCATATATGATTCACCCCTGAGTTAAAAGAAAATGTGCTGACCTCAGATCTCCACATCTCACTTCTCACAGATACATTTACAGCTTGATATTCTTCGTTTACCTAAAAATGATACAAGGTTAATTTGACAGCTTAGAGAAATACACAGTTAAAATTTTATTTGAAGCGTGCTGAAGTTTACCAACCCAAAATTCAAAGTTGAACAGATCATGGGATGAGCATAAGTGATATCTCAAACCCTAAAAGCAAAAAAGCAAAGATACAAAATTATTAAACTAATTTCTCACCAAAACCATTTCAAACTGGATCCATATAGCTCAGTTTTATTAAAGAAACAAACTAAGATTATCCCAGTCTTTACCTTAAAACTCACACATTTTACCAAGCAGAAAGGACAGGTGAAGTCCTCTGTCACTGCAAGTTCAGAAAGGGAAAAAAAAACTAAGTAGCTTGAACTGCACAAGCAATATTTACATGGAAGGAATTTGATCAAAGAAAAGAATACCGCATATATGGAAATGTCATCAATTTCACCATTATTTAAGTTATTAACTGCTCCAACACCAAGAGCAAAATACACCTTGATATATGTAGGATGGTGGCAATTCAAACAGATTGGCTGACATATGAAAGACAGACTAAAGTCCAAGTAGCAAGTTGGAGGCCTTTAGTTGATTGCTCTTACAATTTATTTCAAATGGATATACAGTGCACTATTTTGCTATATGCCCAGAATCTAAAGCTGCGCCTAAGAGATAGTACTCAAAATTTCAAGTTAGCCGCATCTTACATGACCCAACGACATGAAGCATCCATGTACAACAAAGGGAGGGTTCACCAAAGTAAGTGAGGCATCCAAGTAACAAAATACCAGATGAGTTCAGGACATAGTTTAGGAAAGAAGATTTTATTTTCAAGAAAAGAACCAAATGGAGCAGATTCTTTAACTGGAAAAGAACCCTGCTTTAATCATTTTAAATCCATCCAAATAACAGAAAATGCTTTACAAAACAAAACTAGACAACATAGAATCTGACCTGAGTTCAAAAGCACAAGGAACAACCACCCAGAGCAAACACAGATTTTGGTAGCAATATCATAAAATTAAATAAAAGTAGCCAAATATGACGTCAAACAAGCCACAGCTTTACTATAAAAAGAAGAATTAAGTTTACCTTCTGTTCTCTGCAACTTATTGTTATAGTACATATAGTTGAAAACAACATTTCCTGTCCTCAACCTAGAAAGCGCGATAAGCAAAAGTATTAGCTACATATCTACTTTACAATGGACATAAAGAATTTTGAACCTCTTCAATTTCAGTATCAAGCTAAACGCACACTTTCAAACTCAGTTAAAACTAAAGGAATGAAAAGAATAAGGAAATGTTGTTTGCTAAAGGAGAAAATGAAACTTGAAAGGGGACATGCAGCGGAAAAAACATAAATCAGCATATTGACTTATCTTCAAAACCGCAGAGTGCAATAGAGCATTCGATATTTAGCATGTTTATGACTTAGAGTTGCATCACTACATTCACATTGGAAAACGAGATGGACTCAAGGTTGATCAATCGGGTTCAATAGGTTGAATCATTTACAACAAGTGAAGGTAGCAAAGATGGGTAAGAATGACAAGGTCTACCAAACATGCACAAAAACTTGCTGGGAACATAGGAGGAAGCTAATCTAACAAGCTAGATATATAGCAGTATAATTTTAAGGATCAGAGCTCAGCTAAGTATTGATAGAGCAGTATGCCCCTGAATGCTGACCTGAGTTAAAAGGGCAAATCTACCTAGTGGCACAGGCTCAAACGAGTAAAAAATTGAATGCAAGTATGTGCTGGGAAGAAGAATTAACATTTAACACAATGATGGAATAATTGCTGTCAACAATGATAGTACTGATAATTTCTTGTACAGCAAGGAAAGAAGGCATCACACAACGACAAACACAAGAAAGGCAATACACACGACAAAATAGAGAAATATGCAGTGCAGAAAATAGTGCTTCACCGTATTATTCGAGCCAATGAAGTTGTAGGAATGTCATCATAGGAGAATGAATCATATCGTGTTCTTTCTCTTGCAAAAGCTTCTTCTGAAGTAATTTTGACTTGCAGCTGTTGGATTGTCGCCTTTCATAATCCAACCATTACAGCATCCAAGAAATTCAATTATTTTTGAGAAGAAAAAAAATAATTGAATTATATAAGCAAAAAGATTGAAAATCTTTTATTAAAATCCTCAAGGACATAAGCACTGAGTACAAAATGACGTACCAGAGCCACAGAACTGCGGGGATACTGAAAGGAAATGTGTCTGTCTTTGTCCAAAGAGCTTGTCTGCAGATGAAGACACAATAGCAGTCAGAGAAGATGGTTCCTCTTGTTTTTCTTCATTTCTTCCTTTCTTCAACAAGTTAACTATTCACTAATCGTTATGTCTGACCATGATCAACACCAGAACAACATGTGTGAATTAATTAAAAGTACTTCAGCAATGCCCTTCCAGCATCATTTATCCAGAAGAACCAGCCTCAGCAAAAACATCTGGCAATGGCCACTAAAAACAGATTCTACATCATGAAACACTAAATGAAAAGAGTCTATCCAGAAGAATCAGCCTCTACCAAATATGTGAAGGTCCGGCTGCTAGGTTATCAAACCCTTTACTTATGATTAACAAAAGAGAGGACAGAAATTCCATGTTTTCACCTATGGAACTACTAAATATAACATATATGAGCAACATAGGAAAGAGAAGACATATCTGCCTTAATTAACAAAAGACAAATCCAAAATTTAGTAATACTTTGAAGAAGCCATATCGATTCTAGAGTTCCAGACGTAGTCAAGTGAGCAGATGAGATAGATCCTATCCAGTATCAACATTGGCATAGAAGATTAGTCAGATTTTTAAGTAAACCAGAGCTGGTTTTTAAATCCATTTGCTCTGATTTTGGTGAAGAAAAGGGAGGCATAATAACATGACTAAGGGCAGTTGCAACACTCCCACCAGTGGCAAGACTTCAATTTACTGGGCTGCCATTTGTTTCCAGAAAGTGTTGCAAACTTTTTACGGAAAAACTTATTTCAATTTTTTTTCAAGTAATTATTCAACCAAACACCGACACAGAAAAGCTTTTCAGTTTTTGCAAAATCTGAGAAGCACCTCTGGGGTAGTATTCTCATTCTTTTACAGAAACTGCAGAACTTTTTCTATTGGTGTTTGGTTGAAGAAAAGTTCTGAAACCACAAGATCTTTCGTTAAACTAAGGATGTACATTTGAAGCATAACAAAAAGTAGTGATCACTCTTCCAGATTGTCAGTGAGATGTTGGTTCACAAAGCAGTCAACAAAGCAATACATACTACTACTATTTTTTTAGTGGAGAAAGGTAGGGGGTTAGGCCCATTATCCACCGAGTATTGAATCATGCACCACCGGCTATCAGGGTTTCTCGATCATCAAACCAGAACAAACAAACAAACACACACCAAAAAAAAAAAAAACTAACAATATATACTTTTATTCAGCGACTTCAGCTAAGGCGTACCTTCATGAAACAAGGGTTCAAGTCAACAGTTGATAACATCTCAGCTCTCTCCCCTAAACTCAAATTGGGAGACTTGTCCCACAATAAATGAAGTAATTCCATCGGCATTCTGCCCAACAAGCAGTGCCCTTCAAGATTCACTACCACAGTTTCGAAAATAAGATTAGAACAATAAAGATGATGGATCATGAGAAACCTGAAGAAAAGATCAAAAACTTAAATCAACTAAATATGGAAAAAGGAGGTTATCAAACATACTGAAAAATGAAAAGGTACAACGCAAAAGACAATAAGGCATGTAGACAACCTAACACGACGTAATTTGATATAGTAACAACCTCTATGTGGTTTTTCTTTTCATGTGCTAATGAGTGCCTATTCAAACTTCCCAAGCACTGACGAAAGTCTGTGGACTTATTTCAGAACCATTTATTGACAACATTCCAGATATAACATTCAAACTTTGTAATGTACTTCCTTTTCTTTTTTTTAAAAGAACTTTGTAACTTATATTATAAAAACATCAAACCACAAACATGAATTTATAATGATGATTAGAATTATGAATTCAATATCTTTTTCAGCTTGCTGTGAACCCATTAGATTGAGATACACAAAGGATTTAGTGCTGCTGTTAAGTGTTAAGTATAGGACTGGTTTCACACAATCTTTGCTTGTTAGAAGATACTCCCTAACAGCATTAAAATTAAAGATCTTCATATCTTGTCAGGTCCTAGAGATAGACTGAGATGAAAGGAAAAGTAAAGAGACGGTATTCATGGAAGAGGGTGTGAAGGAGAATCACTTTTATAAGGGCATAAAGGGACATGTAGAAGGGAAATTCCGAAATTCTCTTTCCTCAATCAGCTACACATGTCGAACCAGAAGGAAATGCTTTCTAAAACTATGAAAGACAAGAATAGGAAAGAATTACCATGGAGACCTCATGTATTGGTTACCATACTGCAAATACAATGTCATTGCCATTATATTTTTTTCCTTTTACTTCAGGCTTGTGAAATAGGTTACTCACAACAGAAGAAACATGTTTGCAGATGTGGCACATTATAGATGGTTAGACTTTTTTACTTTAATATGTAAACATTTATTATAGATGGTTAGACTTGCAATATTTAAACAATATACATATGCTTAATTTTTTCTAAACCATCAATACAAATAGCAAAAAAGAAAACAAAATGAAGAGGTGCTGAGTTTGAAAAAGCTAGCAATCATAAGTGCCAGATAAAGTGTATTTGACACCTGTAACTGCACAAACTCAGAATCTTTCAAACTTCCCACTACTTACATGGAAATGAAGATATATCCCCACGATCTCTCGCAAGTTCGGCTGCAAAGGCAGAAAACCATATATAGTTGGCCTTCATATCGAACTCAACAAATAAAATTCCAGAAACATATTTTACCTACCAAAGCTGACAAACAGGATGACAAGAGAGCCAGCCCTTATTTCAGCAGAGAGTTTATTCATTTCAGGGAGAATGAATTTTGCTTGAGCACGATTTATCCCATCAACTCCACTGAATGAGGTTGACATGCATGCCCGCTTAAACTGATAGACAGCAGAATGCTGTAACCAAATGGCATTAGCAAGGTACCCAACAGCTTAAAAGATTAAAAGTCACTGGATGAATTTGCACAAGATTAGAACTTACTGCCTCGACAGCTGCAGCACTTGATAGTGGCTTTGCCAAAATTACACCCAAAGGAAATAAATTCTGGACCTGTGATTCATCGTTCACAGTTGCTGGCACAGATATTGCCATTTGAATCCTAAAAAAATAGCCACAGTAATAAATCACCTCCAAAGCAATCTAATTGCAAGTACACATACACTGCAATCACTTTTTGCTTAAAGTGATGAAGCGAGAGATCATTTCTTCAGAGAAGTGTGGGCTTCAAACAAGTACACACAAATTGATCCCGGCAAGAAGTAGAGCCCGTTTGGCTTAACTTTTAAAAAAATAGCATTTTAAAAGTAGTTTTTAAAAAAAAGTCAAACTTTAGTAACTTATAAGTTAAAAAATGAAAAGTAGGGAAGTACCTACTTTTAACTTTTAACTTTTTTTCAAGTCATTTTAACTTATTTTAAGTTATATTTAACTTTGACAAACACTCTCAAAAGCTAAAAATGACTTAAAAGTAGGTCTGACCAACTTTTAAGCCAATCCAAACAGGCTCGTAGTTGATTCTTAAATTTCACCTTTCAGGAGTAGGAATTTTTTGGATAAGGTACTTTATTCAAAAAGATATCTTTCAAACTGAGGAATTCCGAAGGGCTAATGGCACAAGGTTCAAAACTCGATGGATAATGGGTCTAGCCCTCTACCCTTCTCCACTTAAATACCAAGCTTTGCAGCGAGGTAATTGAATATCACATTTGAGGAGCTGAATTTTTCTGTTGAGTAAAGGTATTTTATATTGGATGCTAAAATTAGTTATTTTAATTGAAATTTGCTTATAGTACAAATTTCATATACGTTTTGCTATTTTTATAATAATATGTAAATTGTGCAATTCACTTAAAAAGTTGTGAGCTTCACTTCACTTTTCGCTTCAAACTCGTGCACCTATATGATTTTAACTTTTTTAACATTTGATTAATTATGGGGTGGTATAATGAGTAACACATACGATATTGATCACCATCTACAGGGTGAACCAAATTGTGTTTCATCAGCTATGTCAAACAGTAGTTTGCCTGCAATTTAAGACAAACTTGCCAGCAGTAACTAGATCTGTCTTTTAAGAAGTTACTTTGCAGCCATAAGGTGAAGCCATCATATCAAACAAGCTACTATACAAATCCTAAATGTGTAAGTACTTATCAACAAATTTTATAAGGAAAAATGTTTAGTAGTACTACAAAGTTTAAGCATTGAATCGTACTGTAAAGACATATCTTGTCACTAGGAACTTGTTTGATTTAGATCACTGAATTCTCGGCAATTCATTAAATTTAATACAATAAATATTGACTGAAGAGCCATTGTCAAAAAAAAAAGACTAGATAATTAAGACATATTCAAACATTCCCAATGATATAAAGTAATGAAAGTCGCGTCTCCACATAAATTTAGAGTTCACTCCAAAGCAACACGGACAATATCACATGACAACTAAAAGTACCTCGGAGCATCTAGTATTAGAGTATATGAGACATAACCTTGCATGACAGAAAAATTGGGAGTGAAAGTAATTACAATCAAATATACCTCCTTTTGTGCTTTGCTTGAATTTTGTACTGTAAACATCTTTGAAGGAAGGAAGGCTGCAAGATATTTACACTCATTAGAAACATCTTACACAAAATGCGGATGATGAATGTATAATTAGCATGTAATAAAAGTGATGAGACCAAACACATTAAAACTCATAACAATTGGAAACAAGCAAAAAATCGAAGTCCGGATCTAAAACATCAGTTCAAAAGCATGGCTGAGAGAAAGATAATAATCTTTAGTATACTTTTCTAGAAAACACTTGGAACTGACATAAGATGCATTTATTTAGAATATCATGGCTGAGAAGAATGATAATACTGTTGAGTATTTTACCGCAAAAACTTTTAACTGACATTTAAAATGACTGTTTGATGCAGATAAACAAAACCAATAAAATCAACAATATTTTAAGACCATTAACATCAACTTGAAAATTGTCACCAAAATCATTAGCATTGATGACAAATAGGCAAAAAGCTGCATCCTCATGTAAGTACATTACATTTCTAACAGCACGGCGTTGGAGAATGTTGTAGAGTTCAACAGGTTTGCAATAACTTGAAAGGCTTTCTTCAGCAGCAATCTCCTCCTCTGCAGACAAATGTGTAGCAGAATCTTGCCTGCACATTGAATCCGTAACTGTAGAGTAACTGCAGTAGCAAGTGTAATTCCTGTTCCACAAATTATAATATAACAATCATCATCCATGCTTCTGTAAGTGCATTTGAGTATCTTAAATGTAATTATTGACAAATATAAATATAACACCTCAAATGCAGGGCACAGGAAATATCTTACGTGGTTTCACGAGCCACTAAAGGTATGCCTGGCATCCTTGTCACAAAGTATTCAAATGTATATTCATAGTTCTTTCAACTTCACTAAATTCAGAAATAAAATTGTGTGAGAAAAGAATCATTAAGCACTTGACATAATAGGCAACAAGGGAAAGAAAGATATTGATAAAATCTGATTCAGATTTCTCCTTCAGATAATACATAAGTCTTATTTTCCTTCTTCTCTCTTTTCTTTAGTTGTGGAGGAGGGAGATATTCAGAAAATTCAGTCTCATCTCACTTTGAAAAACATAGCCATGAAGTCTCACTATATCATTGTATGAATGAATATAAATAGCCTTGCTTAAAAATGCAACCAAAACAACCATTTTAAGAAGAAGATATAATAAAAAGAATGAGATTACATGTTACAAACCTTTTTGATAAGCAAAGAACCAATAGAAAGCTACTGGAACTACCAGATGCAAAATGTGAATGGAGCTTAACATGGAAACTCGTGTGCAGCTTCTTCATCAAGCGAAAGGGATACACTTGTGGCTATAGCATGATAAAAACTTTGTTCTTTGATTTTATAAAGGAAGGGGAACCACAGCAATATACTTTAGGAATTCATGTATAAATGGTTTAGGAAAAATACAACAGTCGTTGAAAAGGTAGTGATCAACTGAAGGAAGAATAGGTTGCCCATAATATACATTGAACGGTATTAACTACTCAAAAAGAACAGGAACACTGTCTCCCTAACAATCAAGATTGATTCACAAAAGAGAGAGATCCGCAACATTTTTGTCTCTAGTGTAAAATATGAATAAGTGAGTCTCTCACATAGTGACTTGGCCAAAAAAAAGGTGATTCTCTCATATAGTGATCTGAGAACTACCAGGAAGAGAAGAAAATTATGGAGATCACAAAGATGTTCGCGTGATAGTATATGCTAACCAGTCAAGTTTTCTTAGTTCTTACCTTCCCAATATCAGCATCCCCCGGCACCACTCCAAATCTCCCCAAATATTCTTCCTACACTAATGCAAATATGCGCTTCACCCTATCCCTTGCTTAATCCTCACTAACCCTTCATGAAAGAAGAGTCTGGCAACAACGTGCACCTTCACCTTACCAGACTAGTTTCTCAACAGTGAGCAATTCCATTTCCTTGAAGCTGAGAAAACTATCTCCGCACAAACATAACCCACTGGAATTATTGATCCAGCTAAACTCGATCAATAGCTCATCTACTAATATTCTTTCCAGCACAAATAATTGCTGAATTTGATCTTAAAAACTTTAAACAAATTGAACCACAACTTCCCTTAGTTCAGCCCTCAAAACACGTGTGGAGGCAGACTATTTTGTCCTCTGTAAATCTGATCCTACTAGAGGGCAATCTGGAGTACCTTTGGTAGGTCTGAAAACCCCTCTATATCTAATAGACCCCACTGTTTCTCAATTAGTTCCTAGTTATAAGGAAAAGTTTCTGAATTCAGACAATAAAACTGTAGTTTCCACATCTCACTCAGATGAATGACAGAGAGATACTCTATAGTGCATTATTTATCAATAAAAGACTTTCTTCGAAATTTGCAAAGCAGAAAGTGCTATGCAATCAGAAACCTATAATCAATTTGTAGCCGAAACAGCCAGGGCAGTGTTTGTCAGGTTCGATTAAAAAAACATTAATTATCAAAAAAAATATTGCTTTCTGACATAAAACCTAGCCCTGTCTTTAGTATTTTCTTTGTTATATTTGTGGTTCCTGTACCAGCTTGCACGCACCTTGGGTACATGGTACCTCTTACAAGCACACCTACCCACTAACTCAGCTCACCAAAGCTTAGAAGATGCAAAGAATTCACCTAATGCAGTCTTTGCTTGATTGCAGCTGAACGCTAGGGTCATTCTAGCAGCTCATTTCTTATTGTCTTTCTTTCTTTCCTTTTTTCCATCATGTCATTAGGTAACTCCAAACAACCATTAAAATCCAATACTTCAGACTTCATACGCAAGCTCAAAAAAAAAAAAAAAAAAAAAAAAAAAAATATAACCACTGGAATTCCCAAATCACTGATAATTCACAGGCAAAACATGGATATATGCAAAGTTAAATTGTTGCAATGCTCACAATAATTAGAAAAAAGGATTAGGGATTTTGCCCCACGGGATAGAAAGGAAAGAATGTAACCTACCACTCGATTTTGCCGAAGATGGTGGAGGAAGGTGCTGTCTCTGTCGATTCGCCGGAAGAAGAAGACCGGCGCCGTTTGAAATTGGCGGACCTAAATCAGTCGGATTTTAGGATCCGTTCTTGGTTTCGGTTCGAACTTTGACCGCTCAACCAGAGGCGTTTTGGGGCAGGGTCAAGTTTTAACTGGGAACAGGAACAATCTGAACGGAACACTTTAGGGGTTGTTTGGTGTGAAGACCAAATAGTCTTGGAATTAATTAAAGTGCATTAAGGTCGAGATAATTTATCCCGAATTTAATAATTACTCCCTCTGTCCCTAATTTTTTGTTCATTTTTCAATTGGCACACTTATTAAGAAAACAATGATTAATATAGTGAGTTTACCATTTTACCTCTATTAATTATGAAGTTGATGAATTAAAAATTTAAGATTTTCAAGAAGTTTTACTTTTTCAAAGTAATTAATTGAGGGTATAATAGGTAAAAAAAAATATTTCTTGATTTGTCAAAATCGACAAGAAAATATGAACAGCTAAAAAATGAAAAGTGGACAGGTAATTAGAGATAGAGAAAATAGTATTGAGATAAATTATTTTTCTCTTTGGTGGAATAATAATGCTGAAATAACTATTTTGGTATTTAGGTTTATGTTTAGGTAGTGTGATAGGTTGGGGGAGGTGGGGTGGGGTAGCTAGGTTTTTAGAACTTATTATCATTATATAATAATTGTTTAGATCTTACTTGTTATTTTGATTTTTGAAAAAAAATATTGAAATAACTTATTTCAAGATAAAATAAGTGAAATGACAAAAATGTCCCTTCAAATATTTTTTATACCTCAAAATAGTAAAAAAAAAATGGATACTTCCAAAGTGCACTACATGTACAAAAACACTCACAACCTTCCTATAAGGGTCAAAATGGGTACTTCAGTTCACACAAAATAGTAAATCTAGCCTATTAATTTAATTAAAATTAGATAATTATGACTGATTTGGAAAAATCATTAAAAGAGAGTTGTATCTGTTAAGTTTATTAATGAGAGGTAAGCCTAAATTATTAAAATACATATTTGTAAATAATGTGAATATTATTTGAAAATGAATAATTCGGATATAATTAAATTTTTGATCGATTCGGATAGGTAGAATTCTATGGATGAATTAGATAATCCCATTTGATCAAATATTTAGCAATAATTCATATGTTCCTTTCATGATGGTATTTCAATATAACGAGAAAAGTAGAGGAGTTCAGCCCAGATGTCTCACAAAGTGATACAACATACTAACAAGATGCAACTCAATAATAAATATCTTAAGCAAATTATAATTATAATAAAACTTAATTGAAAGGGGTAACTCACCTTAGACTATGAAATTTAGGTTGGCATACTCTCACTCTAGTGCTTGGAAGAGGTATGGGTGTCTAGATCTCATATCCTTCTCACCTTTTCATGTCATTTCTTTGATGTTCTTATTTTTCCAAAAGACTTTTACCGGAGCTACGTGTTTGTTCCTCAGTATACAGACCTAACAGTATAGTATTGTAACTGGAGTCTCATCGTAGGACAATTTCTCTAAGATCTAAAGATCCTCAACTAGACAATCCGAGAAATGGTTTTATATATATTTTTGCAACATTTGTCCATATAGAATTTCGAAATGAGCTTACATTTCCCATCCATTCTCATAACGTCCTTCAAGGTGAGATCTTCAAGAATACTCAATAGTCAATACAGAATTAAATCTCAACGTCTCACATCGAAATATGATTTCTTGCGATTATAGGCCGTCAATGATTGCTCAAAATAAGTTTAACTTGCTTCACTCGCCTTGCGCTACTTTCAGAAATTAAAATAAATAAATAAATAAATAAATATAAACTAGTATTTCTGTGCCTGACAGAAAGTAATTTGGTGTACTAAGTCAAGTCTAACCAACCATGACTCACCCACCTACAACCATCTAATAGGGGATTTGCATTTTTGTCCCTATAAAACCTCATAAGGCGTCATGACTCATCCAGATATTGAAATGGTAGTTGTTATTATATGCAAACTCAATAAGAGGTAAGAGATCATTCCCAACTTCCCTTGAATTCTATATCACACACTCATAACATATTCTTAAGTGTATGGGTTGTGCGCTCGATTTGACTATCTATCTGAGAAAAAAATTGTGCTGAGTTAATTTGCATCTCCAAGTCCTTCTGGAATGACCACCAAAAAGTAGTTATAAATTGTGTTCCTTTCTCATAAATGATTAATACTAGGACATCGTGGAGACTGACTTTCTCTCAAATAAACAACTAATCATCATCCATATAAGTAGTGACAAGAAATGGGTTAATTTTGTTAGTTTGTCAACAATCATCTAAATAGAACCAAACGTATTTCATGAATGGGGTAATCATGTAACATAAATCATAATAAATACTTCCAACATCCACAAGGGAATAGTTATATCATGCATTAGCCCATCAAACTTGTTATGCTTAATTTTCACATACTGACAATTGGGACACTTAGTCACAAATTCGACATTGTTTTTTCATCTCGTGCCACTAATGGATCCTCTTAAAATCATGGCACATCTTCATTGATCATGGGTGAATAAAATAATGAAAATGATATGCCTCCGCCATAATCAACTATTAGAGTCCTGCAACATCTGAAATATGAAGTCAATTATAGTACCTTTCTGTTTCTTGTCACCTCAAAGGATAAAGACTCATTATCCCTAAACTACACTAGGATGAGATCCTCATACCGCCGCTCTTTTATTTTCACAACTAAAAATGACATTATATAGTTTAAATTGTGACCCCACTATCCAACTAATGTAGTTTTCAAGCTATCTATTTTCGGCTCATAAGTATGATAAGTTGTCCATAGATCTGTGATTGAGGACATCAGTTATCGTATTTGCCTAATCCAAATAATACAAAATATATATATATCTTAGTCTTTTAGCAACTCGAGTCATTCCCGTTGTTGTAAGTACAACTATTTCTACTTAAAAGAGTACAAACAAGCTCTTATTAATAGTGAAGATATCAACATGAACGCCATACAAATAGTGTCTCTACATCTTCAATGCATGTATAACTGCGGTCAATTCTAAATCTTGGGTCATATAATTCCTCTCATGCTTCCTCAACTACATCGAAACATATGCAATCACCTTACAATGTTGCATCAAGACACAACATAATTCAACGTTTGAAATGTCATAATACACTGCATAACCCTCTAATAAGATGATGTGAAACAAGAAGATGAAAACAAAACAAAATCAAGATTGAAAGATAGATAAAAGAGAGATAGACACAATTAAATTAAAATTTAAAGAAAAGATGCATTAGTGAAACTAACTAAAACACCACTTATTTGATAAATAAAAACAGTCTAGTAGAATCCTCAAGAAGGTAGCAACCTTACTTGCAAATCTAAGGGCAAAAACTCGAAATTCAACAAGGAATTTTCAAGCTCTCACAAGAGGCACAATTTTTCATATGTTAAAACTAGTTATGGAACCTAACTTGCAATCTAAGGCAAGATGTTGAAATTTAATAAAGAATTTTCAAGCTCTCACAAGAGGCACAATTTTTCAAATGTCAAAACTAGTTGTGGAATCCTAATATATACTATATATAATAAAGGTTAAAAGTAACGATAAAGACCCAAATTTTCCTCACTAAAATTATAAGGTAATTAAAGTGGTAGAACACTTAATATATTGAATATCTTTATGTCTTTCATGTTTGAATCTTCCAAAATTTCCATTTTAATTTATAAAGTTTTTCATGCTTGAAGGTGCTTAGCTTGACTCACTGTGAAAGGTCTCCTTGAAATATTGTTACTTTTATCTACATCATTTGTAGACACGTAATTTTTGACCGAACCTAAAATTTTACATCAGTTTTAGAGCTTAAATATTATATAAATCTAAATTAAATATTTTGACCTTTATTTTATTTTATTAAGTTTATTTTAAATGTTTTGAAAACAACAAAAATAGAATCACATAGTAAGGTAAGTTTTATTTTCAATTGCTTACAAAGAATATATATATGTCCTTTTAATTTAGATTTAATAAATAAGCTAGTGTTTATTAATTATAGTTTTAAATTAACTATTCAACTTTTCTTATATTCTATTAATTTAAAATAATTAATTTAATTAATTTATATATATTTAATGTTTTATTTGTCTATTTTAAAAAGTAATAATAAAAATAATAAAATTACCTATTCCCATACCCACCTGCACGTTACCCTCACCCCCAAATTTCCTCCCATTCACTCTCACCCCACTACCCCAACGTCTACACACACTTCTACAACATACACACTCACGCACGGCACAACATACACACATACACTACTACATATAACACACACGAGAAAAAAAGACATATACATTCACTCAAAATTCCATAACCCAAGGAGAGCAACACAAAAAACAGACTACTCCAAAAACAACACCAGCAACACAAAGAAAAAGAAGATCAAAAACATTTTTTCATCCCAAAAACAAAAACACACGAAAAGAGATTACCAAAAAATACACGCACCCATCTGCATAAAAAAGAAAAAAGAAAAATCCCCCTCCCATTATATATTTTTTCCACTCACAAACAAAGGTTGAGTTTGAGGTTTACTTTCGTGATTTCGAGTTCGTGGTTCCCTATTAGGATTGCTTTCTTTTCGTAAATTGATTTTCGCAAGAGGTACCATTTAACATTTATTTTATAATTTGATTTTCATGATTATATAATACTTGATTATAATGTTATGAAGTTGCTCAAATTTAGATGTGTTAATTTTGACACTGTAGACACGTAATTTTTGACCGAAATTAAGTTTAACACCATTTTTAGAGCTTAAATATTTTATAAATCTAAACTAAATATTTATGACTTTTATCTTATTTTATTAAGTTTATTTTAAAAGATTTGAAAACAACAAAAATAGAATCACTTCTTAGGCTAAGTTTTATTTTTCAATTGTTTTAAAGAGTAATGAAAAATGGCAAAAATATATATATGTTTTACTTCTAAATTAGGTTTAATAAATAATCGTATATTTTTAAATTATAAATTTAGATTGGCTTTTGTTTTTATATTAATTTAGAATATAGTTGACTAATATATATTTTTTATTATTATTATATTATATATATTTAATTTAAAAAAGTAATTATTTACCTATCAACTAATCCTT